GGAAGAGAGGGGGGCGCGTGGGGGCGGGGATGGGGATGGACGTCCCAAAGTCACACAGTTAATTGATGGTACTGTGCTTTGTTCTGAGCATGGACCCATAGGGTGTGTTTTCTTTCACAGGTTGTAGGCACTTTGTCATTGTTTTAAATCCAGTAGTTTGTCCTTCCACAACACTCCTAACCTGAGAGTCAATGGGAGAGAGAAATTACACACACAGTCAAATCGCTCAATTGCTTCTTTCCATCTAAATCCCACACGGGTGGGTTTATGCAGCTGGCTACTACTGCAGCAGGTTTTTGCACATCTAAGGTTAAATCTCTTAGTGACTACAGAGCATCCATGGAAGCAACAGTCACAATACTTGTTCTTTTAATGCTTAAGCCTGTTCCAGTTTCTTCCCTCTATACATTAACAGAAATAATCTGCTAGGCTATCTTTAGGCCTGTGCTCGGTAACAACCCCACTGCGGAAGCGCCACAGCTGCAGGATGTGAACCGAACACTGACATGCAAACCAACAGAGCTGCTTGCATGGTATCCGCAGGGCCAAATAAACCCCAGGACCGTTAGGTGTTGCAATACCCTGATAAAGCAAAGTTTCAGCAACAAGGGAGAGCTCAGTCTGGTGATAGTAAGTCGTCACGTGGTCTAGAGCAGTCCAGGGTGAGCTGCCAGAGCAAAGGCTCTGTCTGCACTGGAAAGCAGGATGAAAGAAACTGTGATACAGCCGAGGAAGGCTGTGCTTGGACGTGTGCTCCACAGGGTGGTACAGCACACATCCCTGAGCAAGATAAAACACTGCAGTAGACATACACAGAGTTTAATTTTAATAGGGCTTAGAAGTTTGTATTTGTACTTACATTCCATTAAGGTCCTGGATGCAGAGATGAAGTGTTTAAACCCTCACAGCAGCAGGGAGCAGAACGTAAGTGGCCTTAAAAAAATGTCGAAAATGGTAGATAGAGCGCAAGGGAAATTGCTTGCTTTGTGAAGCTGCATCACCCCAGTTTCATGCATGGGGGGGCCTTGCTGTGTTATGTTTAAGTTGGTATTTCAGAGTCAGCCTTTGTAATACCTTCAGCCACGACATTAGGAGCAGTGCTAACTGCTGTTTTCATAGCTAACAGCCAAAAGACAAACAGGTTGGTGTGGGTTTTTTTGGTTTGGTTTTTTTTTTTCCCCCTGTTGTTTACACATTTCATGGCTTCAAGCATGAGCCTGGTTCCAAGCTCTCAGCCCGCTCCTACCACCAGCAGCTTCCTCGTGACTCCAGCATTCATGCAAAAACTGAACTGTCTGGAGGTGGGAGTCCAGCTCTGCAGGGAAAAGGGCTGCAGGCAATAAATGAGTACTAGTGCTGATTCCAGCTGCATGCAGCACAGGGAAAGAAGATGAAAGGAGGGGGCTGGTACTGTGACCAAGTTCAGTTAAGCAACTTATCTAACCTTATCCCAGTAGCGAAATGGGGCTACAGAAAAATTGGGTACCTTGCTGGCTGGAGCAAAGACACATAGAATAGAGACAGAGAGGGCAGGGCACAGCACCTAGCCTGCTGCAAGAAGGTGGCAAATGATTAGAGGTGCTGTGGGCGAGGAGCAGCCCGGGGCTTCCCAAAAAGCATCTTGCTTGACGTGCGCACACAGCGTTCCCCATCTGCCCCTGCCAGAGGAAGGGCTGCTGGGGCAGGCAGGCGATGCAAGAAAAGTAAATGCAGCCTGTTCTTGCTCAGCCCTCCCCTCTGGCCTTTGCCTGCCACAGTTGGGTGTGCTGCTCACCCAATGGCAGAAACCTGTGCACCACCAGCACTTGGAGAGCAGCCCCATGGCAGGGGCATGGGGAGGAAGAAATGTTCTGGCACAGTTCTCCAGTCGTGTGGTTGCTCAGGCAGCTCTCTCTGCAAAGGCAGTTGCAGTCTGCTGTCACAGGTCTAGCCAGCTGAGAGGCGGATGTTAGAGACTAAGACTTCTGACGGTGATGGGGTGGGGTTATGACCAAATTTCTGTAGTTTCTCCAGGGATTTTTTTATTTCAGTCTCCTGGCTGCCTGGCCTTTCTTTGCCCAGCCTCTCTATTGCTGCCTTGTGAGGCACTAGCTGGTTCCTATGATGGCTGACAAGCACATCCAAAGAGGGGACAAAGAAAATGTGCCTACCCTTGCTCATATCAGTAACTGCTTGTGCAGCCCCTGCAGCTGGCAAGGTAACAAGCAGCTGCTTTAGGCCAGCACACTGGAGACTGACCCAAAAGCAACACAGGACACCACAGCTGGAAACTGAACAGCAGTGCAGGAACAGCTTTACAGTCTGCCAGGCTGACCAAACTTGGTTAATCCATTCACACAGGTTTTTTTGGCCTCATTTTAACACCCTTCCTTTCCCACCTCCCAGTCTAGAAAAACACTCTCTTCTTGCTCCTTTCTGTAAAATGCTGGATTGCATTTCCATTTCCTGACGGCACCTTCAGGATATGTAAGGCGGCTAGCTGGCTGGTTTACTTGGCCTGTCCCATCTCTTAAATTGCAGAAACTCCTCATGCTGCCCCAGGGATCAGACAGAGCAGAAGCCCTGACCTTACAACAATGCTGGGGGAGAGCTGGTCAGATCAGACATCTTAATGAATGGATATGCGTATGGAAAATACCTGCAAAGCATTTGAGACATGTAACTTTCAGAAACCTCCTCCCAGCAGCAGATGCACACGCAGGACAAGAGAGATGGAAAAATCCACCTCTGTATTCAGAGGCTGGGGGGGACCTTAGCCTAACAGCACCAGCACAGCTTCAGTATGACAGCAAAGCTTAGTGCTGCTGCTGCTGCTTCAGTGTGTTTGCAAAGCCATTCTTGGGCCAAGCAGGTCTCTGTGCCAAGAGGAAGCATTACTGCTATTTCTTCACTTCTAAAAGGCCATCAAATTCAGACTATATACAACATATATAGAAATAACTTTTAATTAAAAAACCAACCTTGCATCAAAGATTATTGTATCAGACACTGAGGCAAGATTCAAGTTTAAGACAAACCAGTGTTAAAAAAGTGTTTGAAAAAATAATCAGAATGTGCAATAAACTACAATGTAGCAATAGGTTGTAGTGTTGAAACTTTACTGAACTGTTTTCAGATGCCCAGTGCATAATTCCTGTCATTTTGACAAAAAAAAAAAAAAAAAAGACACTAAAACTGGGTCATCTGTCCAGTGCCATTCCAGATATTACATGTGGAAGAAAATTTTGCACAAAAACAGAGACTCCTATAATTTTTAAAAAAAAAAAAAAAAAAAAAAGACACTAAAACTGGGTCATCTGTCCAGTGCCATTCCAGATATTACATGTGGAAGAAAATTTTGCACAAAAACAGAGACTCCTATAAAATTGCCTTCAACTGTCCTACACAGAAAAACTTCCTGTTGATGGATTATACCTACATTCAATGCTTCATCTTTGTTAATACCTCTTGAGGTTGCAGATACATTCTGAACTACACTCTTCAGATGCAAGTTTAAACAACTTGCTTCTGTTTCCTTGCTGTGAACTCGCTGGGAAATTAAAAATCTATCTGGAATCACAATGGAAAGCTTTGGGGCTTTTTTCTTTATTGGTCTTCTAGACATTAATCATCTTTTCCCTTTCAGCTAGTCACCAAATGTTGGCATACTTACGAGACTCTTACAAGGCACTGTACAGAAATCTGAGCAAGACTTTGTCTTTAACATATTAAAGCAAAATATGAGCCTCATGAGCTACTGAAGTAAGATGACCCAAAACACAATATTCAAAGAGCCGCGTCACTGATTTGACTTGACTCTTCTTTCCTTCCATTTCTCTATACCCACACGACGGAAGCAGAAACCCTACTTTCTGAGTAGCAGATACACTGACTATTGAAATGCAGTGGCCTATTTCTATCTTATTGCTTGAGGACATCTATATGAAACATGCCCTGGCACTACTGAGAGCTGAGTACAGATTTTAAGCTAGATGCAAGGCTTCCAGAACGCCTGCTTTGAAAACTGCTGGTTCTCACCTACCCTTAGCTTACGCATGGGTTACACACAGGCATTTAGAGAGGCAGATTTCTGCCCCATGGTCATGCCACACAGGAAAATAATCTGAGGCTATCGCTTCTCCCCACTATTTTTTCAAGTAGTTTTTCTGTGTTCAGTTGAAGTTGTTGGTTAAGGTAGACAGCATACCCTGCTGCACCAGAATCCATTAGAACCAGAAATACATTTGAAACAAACAAAACAGAAAAGGATGATTATTAACAAATGTGGCAATATGTCAACAGAAAGTGAATGGTGCCAGCAATTTATGTGCGCCCACTCCCGACACTGGGAATATTAGACTTCCAGCTTGAAATAATTACTTTCTCTTGGGGTTCAGGAAGAAGAAAGTGTTGTCTTTGGGATTTATCCTGCCTGTTACAAAGCAAGAAAGAAAATATATTATATGCAGCTAACGTACAGGTTTTGAATTGTGCTGTCATATGCTGTGTGAACAAGAGAGATTTTACCTTACACTTTTCTCCACCTTAATTGGCTTTCTTAATGAACCACATTATTCCCTGTCACCTTTGTTTTCTTGTATTGTTGATTCCCAGGCAAACATTTTCGCAGTCTTCTGACTCTTCGGTAGATGGTTTTCTTGGTGGATGGCCATTGTCTGGCAAACCAATGGGTGTGCATGAAGTACAGAGAGAGTCGCTGGGAAAAGCTGCACTTGACATTTCAGTCTGATTCGTTATTTGATCTTGGCACAGTAAAGCTTCTACCTCTTCATCTTTTAGTGGAAAAACTCGAAGTTCCCACAGCCCAGACTGAAAGGAATCCGAAGGGTAGAAGTGAGGGTGGAAAAAGAGAAAAGAGGGGAAAAAGGGATTTCAGTTGAGTCTGAACTGATTAGCTATGTGCAGAATGATCTGCTATCAAGTAACAAATGAGTGTCTTTCTTTACAATGTTTGCAGGGCTCTTCAGATAAAGAATATGACACTGCTAGGCACCAGCTGTCAATGTAACCTGGCTTCATGCAGTTTTGAACTAGTAACAGAGCTACAATTCAACAGGCACAGTACAGGAAGGGAGAGCTCTTTTCCATGTGCCAGACCATCAGGATATCTGACCCCATAATGATCAGCTCCATGTGGAACCCTGGCCAACATCCCCCAAAAAAGATCCATCATCCCTGAACCCAGGCCTGCCATACTTGCCTCTAAAACATGTGCCGTGTTCACAGAGCAATGAAATTTTTACCTGTTGACAAATCTTGGGCTTAATTTATAAAGCATAGCAATCTAGTTCTAAACAGGAGTGCTACATTCAGTCTACATAAACTAGGGAGACAGCCTGAGATTGTGATCTGGGAGACAGGAGGGTATGTTCAGGTTCTTTGTTTTAGGTGGTCACTGAAGATCTGACCAGACCCGGAAGCTGCTGGAAGCACCCACCTTCGCTTCCTGGCTCTCCCTGCAGAGTTGTGCAATCCCTGATTTTAGTGCAGCACAGGAGCTGCTGTGGTGGTCTTTCTGCACCGCGTCTTGGCTGTGTCGTCCATCAGGATTTTTGCTGTAAGATCTAGTGCAGCATAAGAGACAAGAGTCTTAAGAGCTACCCCCTGCCCTTTGACATCATCAGGAACAGTTTAGGTTTTCTTTTCAAAGCCTTCAGTCTCTCCATACATGCTACCTACATTCTACTTCTTTAAATCAAAATGAAAACACACATGGTTCTTGACAACCTTGTTGTCACAAGCCAAAGCAAAGAGTGCTATGTGGAGGAGCTAACTGGATAAACCAGGGCTGGAACAGGCACACTCTGGCTGCAGAACAGCTGGTGGCTCTTCCCACTCCTGTGCCTTACTCCCCATGCTCACCAGAACAGTAATTCTGGACAGAGTTCAGTGAGCTGTGGGCTGTCCCCACTTGGGGGAACACGGCATCATTCGCAGGAGCCTGCGGAGTCCAAGCTGCACTGTCAGCAGACTGTGCCAATGTAACTCGAGAAGAAATAGCAGGTCCTTGGGCTCCCCCTTCCCACCTCTGCTCTGGACTCATCTCAAAGCAGTCAAAGTAATTTAATGAGATTAAAAATTTTGATCTTGCCTTTAATGCAAATTTGAACTAGATATAAAATACTGGCACGCATCTTAAATGCCAGGTGGAAGTCTGACCTTGCTCATGTCAACAGCAGTTTTACTTCTGAATTCAAAAGCGCTAAGATTTCACCAAGGAGTTCATGGAGTTTCAAAATTAAGGGTACATATAGAACTTGTATTTTTCAGCACACTTTCTAAAGTTTTTTTATGTTCAAAATGGCTTAAAATATAAGTTCTTAATACGGTTTACCTCTAATTTTACCCTGCATTAAAAAAGCTATCTTTGCATATATATTCATAGTGTCATTGTTCACTTTCAGCCAAGAGTAGACACAAGCATGTGATAAATAGAAGAAAAAGTTAGCCCAGCATTTATAGGATGCTTTTTGTTCTGGCAGCTTTTGAAGCAATTTATGGGAATCGTCTTCTCAGAGCCAAATTGCAGATATAGCTTTATGATGTTTGCTCTTATATGCACCGCTTTTTGCAAAACTTTTAGGGGTTATATTTAATTCTGATGAGTTTTGCACCAGACAGCAAGCCTGGGATAATTAAACTTTTTCACACAATGACTTTTTTAAGCATAAGATCCTTCACTAACCTGTCTCTGAATGCAGTGGACTTTCATCTAAGTCAGGCAAGTGAAGAAGGGCTCATGTTACACTCGGTGGCTAGCTGTAATAACTGGGAGTGGCACAAACCAGCAGAGCTGTGCTCAGTATGGGAGTAAGATTTGTATTCACTAATACCAGGTCACTAACGTGCCAAATTTCTGCAAGTATGCATGCTTCAGAACTGCATGCCCTTCCCTTTCCAGCCACAAAACCAAACATACCTGGTACTGTCCCTGACAAGTTAATTAATGAGCAGTGCCCTCATTTTCGAAGTTCTCTGTGACAGCATTTCTGAAACTGCTGCACCAACAGCCGACACCAGTGGTTCAATAGGAGCATTCTTATCAAAGTCAATACACCTGCCTGCTATTCCTTCTGGGCCAGCGGCTCTGCTCCCACAGCGACCACCTTGCTCGCTCTCTTTTTTCATACTTCGTATGACGTAAGGAAAAAACTTCATCTGACAGATCTTCTATCTGTAATGAAATACAGGGATAGCTGCTGCCATAATTATGAACAGCACTAGAAACAAAGGCAGCCAGTATTATATATAATTATGCAAAGGTCTGTTCACCAAACAAGGAGGCAACACAATGCATGCTTGCAGTAAAAAGGCACATCAAAACACATACATCCAGCTTATGCTCTCACTAAGGCTCTAGTATATGGGATGCTGTCACTTTAATTTTATTTCTTTACATGTCTGTCGTTGATCTGAATGGATATAGAATTTATAACCCCCCCATGCAACTAACACATTTTTCTCTATGGTGAGAGGCAGAAAATTAAGAGGACAAGTATTCATTTGCAAATCAAGGCAGTATTAAAAGCACATAATAAATACAAGCAAAAATTCCAGGAGTTTCCAGAGACTGCTTTAGGAGGAGGCTGAGAGGCAGCAGGATTTGCCAGGTGCTCTTTAAGCACAGGGAAATAGGTTTGAGATCACCAAGGACTTCAATAGCTCCACATTGAGAGGAACTCAGCAAACCTG